CAAGTCATAACTCAGGTCATAAGTCACAACACATGGTTGTGTGCTTATAATGATTGATAACACGATAAGGCTCATGTCTCACATTTTTGTTATTAATCATAGATTATTTTCAAAAGGTCACAGCACAAATCACAGAATATATTGGCTCACGATTTTGTTCATAGTCCCATGTTATTTTCAAATGGCCCAGCACTAGTCACGATTTTGTTCATAATCGCATGTTATTTTCAAAGGCTCTGTTTTTGTTTTTGGTCCCAGCATACGTCACAGTTCAGGTCACAACACATGGCACAGGTCACAGCATTGGTCACATAAACTATATAGCATCACCTCACCGTCTTACATGCCCTAACCCTACTCCACCAGTGCCACCACAGCCGGCAACTCCCCACAACCACCATCACTAGCGTTGCCAACATAGCCTCACCAATCGACGGCAAACCAAAAACATGACAATCTCCAGCACCGACAATATCACCGCCACCACCACAGAAATTATTAGATCCACAAAAACCACCATCTCCGTTTACACCACCCCCACCAAAGAATTCACACCGCACCATCACTACTTCAACGAACCACCACCTGCACCACCCCTACCTCACCATCTCCACCACCACCACTACTCCGGACGAACCACAACCACCACACAGAACACACAGATCAGGACATATACACCACTAATCTCCCATCGTCACCACATCAACTGTACTATCACCGCAACCACATAAAACAAACATCATCGCAGCGCACCGCTCAAATGAAATCAGATTGAGAAATTACCAAATTTGGCGATAAAAATTAGTAGTAATAATACGAGAAACCCCCAGAAATCGCGGCGAGAGCTCCAAAGGGTGCTTCCGAATGCGAATGCCCAAGCCCAAACCCAAAAGCCACTGTGTGGCTTCGCAGCAGATCCATAAAAGTTGCAGCGGCGGCGGCGATGAGAGAGAAAAGTTGCGGCAGCGATGAGATAGAGAAGAGTTGCAGCGGCGAGGAGGCGGCGGTTTCAGTTTAGGAGTAGAGGATTTTGACGGTGGAGGAAATTGAAGCTGTTGGTTCTGGTTCCGGCGTTGTCGGAAGGTGGCGGCGCAGTGGGGGAGACGCTCCTTCCATGCTGCCGAGAGAGAGAGACAGAGAGGGGTAGGGGGTGGCGCCGGTTCTGAAAGAGAAATTAGGGATTTAATTTTGTGATGGAGTGTTTATAATTTAATTTTTATAATATTATTATTAATATTTAATTAAATATAAAAAACATGTATCTATATATAAAAATATCTGATTTTTGAATAAAAAAACATGAAATCTGATTTTTAAATTTGGATTTTGAAAAGTAGGGCTCCATGTAATTTCCACATTCCTAATTGGGCTCAGGTAGGTTACGGGTCAAGGGAAAAAATGTTGATTTTTTCTTTATTTTTTTTTCAAATTTTTTTTATAATTGGCCAATCGGGGAAGGGTGAGGCGGGGATCATGTTCCCCTGCCTCAACTGGGGCAGTAACTATCATGCCAAAACTGCCTTGATTAAGCGGGGAATCCCTGCTCCACATGGGGCGGGCACTGCAAGGATCTTGCGGTCAGTTTTTTTGCCATTCCTTGGTGTTGTTATATTTTGCAGCATGCTGCTTTCTGTCTGTATGTTTAATTTCAATGGCTGTTACTATATTATTTGTGATTCTCTTAGCTCTCTGTGTTTCTTCTCCATTTTCTTATTTTTTTTGGCTATGAAGTGTACTTTCTAAAGTTTCAAAAACATAGTTTCACGTGTTTAAATCTCCTGTGGACCTTTACCATAGAACCTTTTCAATTTATTATTAACTATGTTAGTACTATTTATTGATCAACTGGCTTAGCTTTGTCTCATTATGTTCATTTATGCCTCAGTTGGAGCCTTCTTTTGAAGGTGAGCTTGGATTTGACAATGCGAGGACAGTATTATTAGTGTTGGCCATCTCAGTTCCAGTCTCATTTGAACGGCCAATTTGTACAGTTCCTCCACAAGCATTTTCTTATGCAGGTACAGAATTGGGGAGGATCTCTCATGGTTTGTCAGATGTGGTAGACCAGAATGGTCTTTTGGCTTATTTGTCTCATTGCAGCAGATTCTCAGTTGTGTCTGCTTCTGAGTTCTTTAAAGGGGAAGAACCAGCCTTACAGCTGGAGCAAAGTAATTTTCTCTTGTGCCAAAAACGCAACGAGATCTCTGAAGCTCATTTAACAAGTCTACTTCTAGATTACCTGCCAAACTTGCATGATAGAGTAACGAGCTGTGTGAATATTGTCCTTCGAAAAATCTCTGATATATGGCGATTGATAGAACTTGGATGCATGGGTGAAGTAATTCAAACGTTAAGGTTCTGATTCTACTCTCTGTTGCTACGAAAGTTTATCCACGTTTAATCTTAGATGCTTCCTTTAAGTGATAAATTGGCTTCGGAGTTGTCTATTCAGCAGATCTATGCATAAAATAAATTGCTCTTATGTAGGGTGAATTTCTGATCTCTCTAAATTAAGGTAATAAAAATATAAATGTTAAATACTAATGTCAAATTTCATCAACAATGAAATAAACGTTAAAAAATAACTTCTCCATTAGTAATATTAGAAAGAAAATAAAGAGATATTTTTAATATTTTATTGTTGACTTACAAAAAAAGGTAAAGAAATAAAAAAAAAAAATTGTCAGTGGTATCAACGATTTCCTAAGGCGATCAGCAAACGAACATTGTCGGTGATTACCGACAACATCATTAACATATCTATAAATTTCCAAGCAAAGAAATCTGCCCAGAGTGAACCACCCTCCAACAATTTTCAAGCAAACCTCATGAATAAAGATTTTTGGACTTCGCCAAAATCGCGAAAGCCCAAACCCCCTTCCTCTTCCAACAAGCAAAATAAAGAGACATTTTAATGTATGCTGAGGTTTGCTTGGAAATTGTTGGAGGGTGGTTCACTCTGGGCAGATTTCTTTGCGGCCAAATATATCAAAAATCAATCACTGTACACTTTGAAGGTGTCATCATCTCAGTCTCGATTCTTTAAAGGTATTCTTTTTGTCTTGCCAATTGTTTTGCATAATTCCTTATGTCGGATTCAAGATGGCTCCTCTAGCTTTTGGTATGATCGCTGGATGGGTCCGCAAAGTTTGGAGGACAAGGGACTGGAAGTACGAGATCCCTCTTTGCGAGTGAAAGACCTATTTGTTGATGGAAAATTGGATAGTTCACGGCTACAGGAATTATTGGGAAAAGATCATGCGATTGACATTGAAAATTATGGGATTTGTTTGCGCCCTGGTTGTGATTGTTATGTGTGGAAACCTAGCAAAGATGGGCTGTTTTCTACTAAATCTGCGTGGAATCTAATCCATAAAAAAGGTGAGCTATGTCCATGGTCGAAATGGCTTTGGCATTTGAGGGTTCCTAAGCGAATGTCTTTTGTGACTTGGCGGTCGAACAAAAATTGTCTTCCAGTTGATGCTATTGTACAATCTCTTGGTATTCCATTAGCTTCAAAGTGTGAATGTTGTATTGAGCTCGCCTTGGAGACCTTAGATCACGTTCTATGCACGGGAGAAGTGGCTTCTAAGGTATGGGACTATTTTGCTCTTCATTTCAACTTACGCCTACCTCATGCTGCTTCTTAGAGAAATTGTATGAATCTTTGGTGGTCCTTTGCTTTGAAATCTATTCAAATGGGAACCCTTCGGGGTGTGGTGCCATTGGTAATCACTTGGGCACTTTGGACAGCGAGGTGTACTTCTCGCATGGAAGGGACGAATTTTCGATGGCAAAGGGTTGTGTGGAAGGTTAAATCATTCCTGTCTACTTGTGCTGGCTTGTTGAGTACAGTGAAACGACTTCCAGACCGAGATATAGGTTCTCTCCAAGCTCTTAATTGTCCTATTATCCGCCCTAAACTATCTAAGGTGTAGCTTATTTATTGGAGAAAACCCACTGGCTTCTCGTTTAAGCTTAATATTGATGGATCGTCTTTGGGGAATCCTGGTCTAGCTGGTGGATGGGGTCTTGTACGTGATGCAAACGGTGATTGTTGGGCAAGCTTTGCTCACCACTATGGCCATGCCATGAACATGGTAGCTGAAACCCGAGCTCTTCTTGATGGGCTGAAAACGTGTAGCAAACTTGGGTTACAGGATGTGGTGGTTGAATCAGATTCCATTGTGGTTGTTCATTGGATGGAAAAGGAGCTTGCTCTTTATGGGTCCTTCAAGATCTTTGGGATGAAATTATGGTTTTGGAACAATACACAAAACCTACATA